GTCCTTTAACTTTTTTTTTTTTTTTGATGGCATCTGGCTAAATTGCTAAAGAGTCTTTCTAAGTTGCTGAGACTAGCCTCAAACTTCTGATCTTTATGCCTCAAGCCCCTGAGTCACTGGGATTACAGTTGTGTGCCCTGGCTCATTTTATCTTTTAATATATGAGATAGAGAAAATGTTCATTTCAAATTGTCTGTTTAGCAGGGGGTTTATCACTTTGCTAAGCTTGTACAAGTTGAGTAATCATTATGTAAAATGCTTAGAAACACAGTTTTTTAGAGTTGGGTGTTTTCAGATTTTATAATAGTTGCATATACATAATAAGGTATCTTAGAGATGGGGCCCAAATGTGATTTATATACATTTTGTATACATAGCCTGAAAATAATTTTATAAATTACTTTCAGTGTGCCTGCATTTTGCCCATGATCTGTTACATGAGGTCAAGTGTGGATTTTCCATTGATGGTGTCATGTCAGCTTCCAAAGTTTTAGACTTCGTTATCGGTTTTGGTGCTAGGGTAAATTTTAGACTTTGATGAATTTCAGATTTCTGACTTTGAGAAATTTTGTTTTGTTCCTGACTATTTCCAGCCATTAGAATGAATAGTCTAAATCTAAATTTCCATTTCTTCACACATCTGCCCTCTGAAATCAATATTCTGCTGACACTGCTTCTATTCAGATCACAAATGACCTCCTTTTTGCTGAACTCCAGTGGTTCCATTTGTTTTTATTTTTGTTTTATTTTTTCCCAGTGGTTACATTTGTTATCAGAAATGGTTTTTTTATTTGGCAAGACACTGTCAGCAATTCATTCTTATCTTCCTGAAACCCTCTCCTTGCTTGTTGTGGCACCAGTCTTTTATTTCCTTCCTGCCTCTGTCAGAGATCCTTCTCAATCGTCTTTCTAGATGACTCTTCCTTTGACTATTTTTACTTTGTTGGCATTCTCCAGTCTTTATGCCTGATGCAGTCCAATTTCAACATGTAAGTCTCAGCTCAGACCTCTTTTCTTAGCTTCTGGCCTGTGTCCAGCCCTTTCCTGGACATGTTTACAGAATTATGGATGCCTCCCTTCCCAATATCTAGTCATTTCCATGGCCATATGATGTAACATCAGTTTAACAGTTTGGCAAACAACCGCTTCCTTCATCTCCCCACTGTTATTGCTAGTACCACCTTAAAATTTTGTCACAGTCCCTGTCTTGGACTCCATGCCTGCAGGTGCCCCACTGTGGCTTTTCTTTAGGCTCATCATTCTTTGAGGGGTGAGGAGTTTATAAGACCAAGGAGATACACCTGCCCTGTTCACCTCCTTCTAGTCTGTGCTAGCTGTTACACAAGACCCCACAAATTCCTGCATCAGGCTGCTTTCCCAGGCCAATTTTTCCAAGGGTAGACTGAATCCTTAGTGTGTATGTCTAGGCCCTAGGGGTAGCTAAGGGACAGATGTTTGAAAGGGAACAGCTGGACCTTAGGTAAAGCCTGGACCCGTAGCTACATACACATATATGCAAAGCCCTTGATGTTATAGACCAGAGCTAGATGTTGAAGAGAAGGACATGCAGGGACCTGCATTTGTATACTTTGTCTAGGCCCCACAAGCATTAGGGCAGGCCTAATTATTGCCTTATTTTTCCTTATGTTCCTAATACAGGCTGATAGGTCATTCTTCACCTATTTTTAGGGATTCTTTTTAAAAAATATTTATTTATTTTTTTAGTTGAAGTTGGACACAATATCTTTATTTTGTTTATTTAGGTGGTGCTTAGGATCGAACCCAGGGCCTCGCATATGCTAGGCGCTCTACTGCTGAGCCACAATTCCAGTCCCTACTTTTAGGGATTCTTAAAAGCAAGGACTTTGGCTTTTAATTTTTCTATATCCACATACCTATCACAGTACCTATCCAACACAAACACTTAATACGTGTTTGTTGAGAGAGTAAGTAATAAATGCAGTTTATATTAAACATTTTATTATTTCATTTCCTTTGTTGTCATTTTAAAGAGTTTTTGGTAGCCAGACACAGTAGTACAAACCTGTAATATCAGCTGTTCAGGAGGCTAAAGCAGGAGGATCAGATCAAGCCAGGCCAGACTATGAAAATTCATGAGACTCTATCACAAAAGGGCTGGGATGTAGCTCAGAGGTGTAGAGCATTTTCCTAGCATGTACAAGTTCCAGGGGTTGTAAAAAGAAAGTTTATAGTAATATCTAATATCTAGATGACTTTATTTTATTATGCCTTAAGGTCAGCATTTTTCTAGAAATACGTCTCTAAATTTGCATTGCCATTAAATGGAAAATGTAGATTTTATATATTAAACAATTTTATTTTAAATATATTTTTACAAATTCATTTTATAAAATGGGATAATTTAATGGCAAGGAATAAAAAATAGTATCTGACATACATGCAAATCTTGATATTACAAATGAATGTACCATTACAGTTACTAGAACAACAGTGCTTATGGTCAGTTATATCCGTAACTGCAAAGTCCTAAGATGCTCTGTGGTATAGGTCTAAGGAATAGGACTATGTTTTGGAAAACTTCAAGACGCTGGGAAGAGTGGAACTCAATTTACCTACCAGGTTTTTCATTAATTTAGTGGGTAACCCCAAGATCCCATAGACCTCTGTTTAACTGAGCTCATTTATGAAGAGTACATGTGTATATGATTACTTTTAATGCAAAATGCATATAAATTATTTAATAATAGAAACTTTTAAACACCAAGTCAACTTGTTTTACTTCCTGACATGACCTTTTACTCTGCTAATTCATGTGCTCTAGGTTAGCTTCCTGAGTTTGTAGTTCATAGACCTCTAAACTTAAAACCCATCTGCAATGTCACTAGTGCTCTACCTTCTGTGGACATTACTTTAGCATATGTGTCATGTTGCGAGATATTCTGATCTGAGAATGAGTAAAATGGTCTTGCTTGGCCCTTAAGTTGTCTCACACGCACACATTCTATGACTTGTGTTTGATGCTTAGTCTATTCTTGATTGTACTGAGAGGTAACAAAGAGTTAAGTCTGCACAGGAGTTGGAGTTTTATACCTTAACTCTGATAATTCATACTATCTTTTTTTGTTGTTGTTATTTTTTAATAAGTTATACTCTATATATGAATACCTTTAATTTGTTTATTTTTATTTTTATTTTTTTGTGGTGGTGAGGATTGAACTCAGTGCCTCACGTGTGCTAGGCGAGCACTCTACCAATGAGTCACAACCTCAGCCCCTGTTTGTTGTTTTTGATAGATTATTTCTTCCATGTTCTCCTTTACCCTTGACAGTTTTAGGCATAATAAACTTTACTCATTCTAACCCTTCTTCTAGATGAGTCTTTCAAGAACACCCCATTAAAAGTATTAAATAGAAAAGAAGTTGCCTTTATGAGCTATCATTCTCTGATTGTCGTGCCATCATAAGTCATGGCTAGGACCACTTAAGACTTTGCTTCAAGAATATTTCAAATGTTGATTTAATTGTGGTGGGGCATCATAAGATCCACTGGCTTTTGGAGGAACTGTTTGATTTCAGAAACAGTTTAAAATCATTTCTATCATCCAGAAAATTGTTCTCCTTACATGAGAAGATTTTAAAATCTCTCCCATTTTCTTAATAACATTAATGATACTTGGAGATATTTTACTTTCACATAATTTTCCAACATACATGATGATATGGGCAGATCTAAGTGACATATTTTACTTCTCACTCATTTCTACATTAGGGCCCTACATCTCCCCATATGTTTGTTATTTTTTTCTGCATTCATAAAATGTTTTTTCTAAGTGACTTAAGCTGCCAATTAAAAATATATATATGAGACTCACACGCTGCTTAAAAACCTGAACAATAGCTGGGCATGGTGACAGTAATCTCAGGTACTATAATTCCAGTGTTATAAAAATGTCAGCTATATTGTCCCTTCCCTTTCCTCTAATTCCATGGCAAAAGAGTTTGACCATATTCCATTTCTTGTCTAGACTTTTTTTTTTTTAATTTAAGACTTCTTTTTTCCTTCAAGTCTTCTCTTGAATGTGAAGGTATATGTTACGGGTAGCAGGAGCAATGGGGCAAAGGGTTTGGTCAGCAAGGCATAAGAGTGTTAAGTATAATATTGAGAAAAGATGAACAAAAGAACAAATGGAAGGAAAACAAGAAACTACTCGTCATTAAAATCAGCATCAGAGTATTAGGACTGAAAGTATGTATGCATATGTTCAATCCATCGCGAAGATTTGTCTTACCGGTGCTCAGGAAATACATGTGGAATTTAAATTCATCTCTTGATTTTATGGGAGAAGACATGGAATTCCACCAAAGTTATATATTTCCTAGGGTCATTTACCTAGCTGGTTATAGAACTCAGCTGGAACCCAGGTCCTCTGATCCTCAACCAATTTCTTTGCTATAAGAAGATACTACATTGACTTTTTTCCCCCAGTACCTAGAAAAGGGTAGGTATGAAGTGTTGAGCTCAGTTGTGTCCAGTGGCACTTATTATGTCTATTAACAAGTGGCATGCTAGTAGATAGAGCACATATTTTGGAGTCCGACCTAGGTCTAAATTTTAGTTGTGTCTGTTGGTACTTGGGCAGGTTTCTTAATCTTTCCAAGCGTAAGCTTTTATGTTTCAATAAACAGGGAAAACAATTGACATTATTGTTTTCACATTATTGTTATGACAATCAAATGAGCCAAGGCAATATTAAGTATTTAGTTTTGTATGAGGCATAAATCAGGGGATTCAGTAAATATTTGTGAAATAAATAAATGGCAACTATTACTGTATTTGATCTCCCTCATAGAGGATTAACAAAACTTTTAAGTAATGTCAGCTTACCTTTTAGTGTGTTTTATGCTTTACAGAGATCTGTTTTTATTGCCATAGTTAAACTGCTATTTGGCTAATTTATTCCTGTCTTGGTAAATGCCTGCTTCATATACCTCACATTATTTTAATTTTTTAAATTCCAGATTAATCCATGGAGGACAGATGTTAAATGGATTGGCAGGTCCAACTGTTATGAATGCTGCACCATTCCTCTCCACAACCTGGTTTTCTGCAGACGAACGGGCCACTGCCACAGCGATTGCTTCCATGCTCAGTTATCTGGGTGGGGCATGTGCATTTTTAGTTGGACCTCTTGTTGTTCCAGCTCCCAATGGGACATCACCACTTCTTACTGCAGAGAACAGCAGGGCTCATATTAAAGACAGCATTGAGACTGTGTTGTATGCAGGTAATTTGAAGTCTTTTCCTGTTTATACTTTAGTCTACTCTTTGTATACCAGATCACCTCAAATGAAATAGTTAGAAGGACTGACATAGCTAATGCACATAATGTGCTTTCATTGTTTTATAATATGGAGATGCCTATTTAAAACCTACAGCCTTCCCGGGAAGTTACTAAATTTAACATATATTCTTGATACACAGTAGGTCTTTCTTTTTTTTTTTTAACTGGTTGTTCACAACATTACAAAGCTCTTGACATATCATATTTCATACATTTGATTCAAGTGGGTTATGAACTCCCATTTTTACCCCATATACAGATTGCAGAATCACATCGGTTACACATCCACGTTTTTACATATTGCCATACTAGTGACTGTTGTATTCTGCTATCTTTCCTATCCTCTACTATCCCCCCTCCCCTCCCCTCCCATCTTCTCTCTCTACCCCATCTACACAGTAGGTCTTTCTTAATTTTACTCTTTACATTTGTTTACAGTGAAGTATTACATAACACATATTCTAATGTCTTTTCTAAATATCTTACCCAGTTTGTAAAACTACACATCATGGTTGACTACAAACATTTGTCAAGCATAATTGGTAGCTTTTAAACCCATTTTCTCCCTTGCAATTTTCCCATTATTTGTCCTGTTCTCAATCATATTCAGCTTGATTATCTGTAGTTTGTTTGCTTGTTTCTTTTCAAACAGATGTCACTGTGTTACCCAGGCTGGACTCAAGCCATCTTCCCACTTCAGCTTCCTGAGATCTAGAACCTAGGCATGCATTGCCATGACCTAAATTATTCTATTTTCCTCCCTCCCTCCCTCCCCCCCCCTCGTCTATTAATTAGGGATATTGACTTTTCCAAAACATTCTCTTTGGACCTTTTTGTTTCTGAAGTTGAGTCCCAGGCCACCCTGTTACAGTACCCTATAGATCTTCTTAAATCTGTTCTGTTTTCTAGCTGACTCTTTTTTTTTTTTTTTTTTTGCATAAAGAATACTTCTTATAAGTGTTTGCTATATAACAATCACTGTGCTAAGCATTAGGAATTGTTGCGATCAATGAGGAGACAATTATAATACAAATAAAGCTATACAGAGGTAGGAAGACTAATTTGCCTGGGTTTGGAGAGAAGTTGAAGGGTCAAAGAAGGTTTCATCAAGATGTAATAATTCAGAAAAATTAGGAATTTTATAGGAGTTCACTGACCAGTCAGGTAGGCCAGGGTATTCCATACAGGGAGAATGGCACTGCAAAGTCAGAGAAGGTATGAGAGAGCTCAGCATGTCCAGGACACTACACATAATTTAATATAGCTGTAGTGGTATGAATTTGTGTTTGAGTATTGGTAGCAAGTGGTAGGAAATGAAGCTGGAAAGATAAGGGAGCAGATTATGCCAAGTTTTGTCTTAACTTGTATATGCACTTATGAATTTAACAAACATTTTGAGCTCCTGTGTATTTGTCATTGTGCTAGGCACTGAGGTGGATATGGTTCCTGGTCCAATAGACCTTTTGGTATCCTAAAGAATACAGAGAGGCAAATAAACAGTTGTAGAACAGAATGCTGGGCATTAATTGCTCTAACAGCTTGAAGGAGATGTGCCTAGCTCACATTTTGGTTGTGTAGTAGTTTCCTAGAGATGCAGCATCCAAGGTTTCCAAGGGATGAGACTTAACCAAATAGAGTGAGCAGAAGGAAGAATAAAATAGAACCATGAAGAAGAAGCCCAATGAAGTGACAGAACCTGGTACATTCAAGCTACTGAAAGCCCAGAATGGCTTAGATCTGGTGAAAATGGTGATAGGAGAAACTAGAGAGGGAAGCCAGGACATGAGACCTCAAGCAGGGCTAAAGAAAAGGTTTGAAGTTCACCATGGTGTAGGCAAAGATCACACTCTGAAGTTTACATCAGATTTACATTTCAAAATCTGGTATTTCTTCTAAAGAATAAAACTAAAACAGACTCCTCTCCTTTTGAAGAAAAAAACTGAAAATGTAAAACTACATACATACACAAGGAAACCTAAAAACAGAAGACATAAGTTTTAAAACTTCATATTAGTAATATCATTCATTTCATTGAAAACCTAAGCCATCATTGTATATTTTAAATATCTGAGTTTTAGACACCATTAGGCGTGTATTAATGCCCTGCATCTACCTGGTTCAGGGCTCCCATGCAGTCAGGAGGAAGCCCTTGCTCACAGCTTCCAGTCACTTCCTCAGTGCTTTCACACCTTTTCAGTCTCCCAGTCTGCCTTTCTGAAATATTGCCCCATGAATCTTCAGTACATTAAAAATACTTTTGCTAGAATTGCTGCCTCAAATAGTTAGAGACTCTTAAATTATTCCAGGTAAGAGCACATAAGAAAATTAAGCTACAGACCAAGATCTCTTAGGAATATAGACACAAAGGTCTTAGACAAAATACTAGCAAACCAAATCCATCAGCTTATAAAAAGTATGGTACACCATGATCAAGTAGGATTCATCCCAGAAATACAAGATTGACTTAACATTCAAAACTCAATTAATGTTATATATCATATCAATAGAATACAGGGGGAAATGTGCTTATATGAAGAGATAAAGAAAAAGGTTTACAGATCCAGTGTCCTTTCAAAATAAAACAATCAACAACTAGGAATAGACAGGCATTCCCTCAACCTAATAAAAAAATATACAAAAAACACAAATGCGGTATATTTAATTGTCAGATACTGAAAGCAGTCCTCCTAAGATCAGAAACAGGACAAGCATGTCCACTCTTAGCACCTCTGTTTATCATTGTGCTGGAGGTTCTACCCAATATCACTGGGCAAGAAAAAAGAAATTTAAATGTAACCAGATTGGAAAGAAAGGAGGGGGAAAAAAGGAAATTTTTGAAAAATACATGATTTTAAATATAGAAAAATTATCTGGAATTCACTACCAAACTGTTAGATCTAAAAGATGAGTTCAGCAAGATTTTACAAGATTAATGTGTAAAATCGATTGATTGTACATTAATAATGATCAACCCAAACATGAAATTAGGAAAATAATTTATAATACTATCAATAATATAATATATTTAGGAGTAAATTTAACAAATCTATAGCATACTCTAAAGACTACAAAACAGCATTGAAAGAAATTAAAGGCCTTCAAAATAGAAAGTCATCCCATGTTCATGGGATGGAAAGCTTAATACTGAAAAAATATTCTCAAATTTATCTACAAACTTGGTGCAGCCCTATTAAAATCCCAGCTGCCTTTGTTGCAGAAATTGATGGAAATGCAAGGGACCAGGAATAGCCAAAACAATCTTGAAAAAGGTGTTGGACAACTCATGTTTCTCAATTTTAAAACTGAGACAGGAGGATCGAGAATTCAAAGCCAGCCTCAGCAACTTAATGATCCCCCAAGCAACTCAACAAGACCGTGTCTCTAAAAAAATTTTTTTTAAAGTCTAGGGACACTGGGGAAGAATAGTGTTACCTTAGATTAAGTAGAGAGAAGTGATGGGGGCGTTAAGGAGGGGATGCAGGGATAGGAAAGACTATAGAATGAAACAAACATTATTACTGTATGTACATGTGTGACTACATGACCAATGATTCTGCAACATGTACACTCAGAAAAATGAGAAATTTTGTCCCATCTATGACTGATAAATTAAAGTGCATAAATGCATTCTGTCATGTATAACTAATTAAAACAAATTTAAAAATTTAAAAAATAAAAATCTTATGATTCATCTTTCCATTTAAAAATAAGAAAGGGCTGGGAATGTAGCTGAGTGGTTAAGTGCCCCTGGGTTCAATCCCTGGTGCAAAAATAAATAAGTAAATAAATAAATAAATAAATACCTAATATAATTACAAAACGAATCAAGACGGCATGGTATTGACAATTATAGAAAGTATAGTACTGATTCATGCTCCAACATGGATGACCCTTGAAAACATGCTGATTGAAAGATGCCACTCACAAAAGACTGTATATTCTATGATTCCACTTAAATGAAATATCCTAATACTCAAATCCGTAAAGACTAAAAATAGGTTAGTGGTTGTCTAGAGCTGGGAGATTTGGAATTAATGGGTTATAGGGTTTCTTTAGGAGATGATCAAAAAATTCTAAAATTGAGCTGGGCACAGTGGCACGTGCCTATAATCCCAGTGGCTCCGGAGGCTGTTGCAGGATAATTGTGAGTTTACAGCCAGCCTCAGCAAAAGGGAGGTTCTAAGCAACTCAGTGAGACCTTGTCTCTAAGTAAAATACAAAATAGGAGCTGGGGATGTGGCTCAGTAGTCAGGTGCCCCTGAGTTCAATCCCAGATACCTGCCCTCCCCCAAATTCTAAAATTATAATGGTTGCACTGTTATATAAATGTACTAAAAACCATTGGACTGTGTACTTTAATGTGTGAATCGTATTTTATATGAATAATATCCCATGAAATTGTTTACAAAAATGTCTATAGAAAGATGGTCAATGAGGCTGGGATTGTGGCTCAGTGGTGGAGTGCTTGCCTCACATGTGTGAGGCACTGGGTTCGATCCTCAGCACCATATTAAAAAAAATAAATAAAATGAAGATATTGTGTCCATATACAACTAAAAACATATTTTAAAAAAAGAAAGATGGTCAAAGAATATGAATGAGGATATTACAGAACAAATACAAATAACTAATAAGTATATTCAAGATGCTCAGTGTTATTAATAATTAAAAGAAAGAACTGTAAGGTAAAATAACTCATTAACTTCTTGTTGCTCTTTAGATTGACAAAGAATAAAGAGATTGAGAATCCCAAAAAAATTTGGTAACAATCTTGTCTTTCAGAATTAGGAATCTATAAATTTACAGTTGAATTAACTAAAATGATATATGGTTAAGTGTCTTATAGAATTATTGTCCCTTTTCCTAAGAAAATATCCCTAGAAATAGAATTATCCAACAGAAAAGACCCCTAGAAACTACTAAGTCAACTCCCTTTACTGGGATTCACTTTTGTAACAAGTCAGTTAATGGCGCGGATGAGTCTGTCATCTAAGTTTCCAGTATTTTTATTAATGTTGTGCTTTTCTACTTAAAATTGGGCACAGTTAACAAAATCTGTGCTGTGGAGGGAAGAATTGAGAGTCCTAAGAACTTTCCCTTTTGTAATAAGGCCAAACTAGTGTGGTTTGACTGTTCATTTTACTTCTGATTAATATTTAGCTAGACTTATTAAAATACTCATTAAATATTTTTATTTAGCTAGGTTTGTGCTTTAATTTGCTGCCTCTTGGTTTCTTTTTTTCTTTTAATATTTTTAGGTGTAGATGGACACATACCTTTATTTTGTTTATTTAATTTTTTTATGTGGTGCTGGGGATCGAACCCAGTGCCTCATGCATAGAGCAAGCGCTCTATCACTGAGCCACAACCCCAGCCCCTGGTTTGTTAATTCTGGATGCTTTCTTGTCTTGTTAAATTTTCCTGTACTGTCTATAAATTGGATCTGTCCTACATATGGATCAGAAATCCTATCCTTGATCAAACAAATGTTCTATTCTATTTTTGCCAAATTTCTTTCATATTCTTTCTTTCTGAGTACCCTACTTATAGACAACCATCTTAGACCTCTTTTATAGTAAGGTATTGTTGGTTTGAATGAGATTTCTCTATAGAGTAACAGTTGTGTACTCCCTTGATTTTTTTTGACTATGTGGTGTGTCATTGGACTACCATGCTTCTTTATTTATAGCCTGACTTCCTACCTGTGACCTGCTGAACTTTGTATCTGTACATATCTGTCTTTCCCACTAGACTGAGCTATCTTGGCTAGGTGCTATGTTTTGCCTATCTTTATATATCTAGGGCTTATTTGATGCTCAGTAAATATTCTTTAAATAAATAAATACTTGAAGTATTCAACTTTTTGTGTCACTGGTTAACACTTTACTAATTTTTTTTCTTTCAGAATTTGGAGTTGTCTGCTTAATATTCTCTGCAACACTAGCTTATTTCCCACCCCGGCCTCCTCTTCCTCCCAGTGTTGCTGCAGCTAGCCAGAGGCTAAGTTATCGACGCAGCTTTTGTAGGCTATTAAGGTAAATATACTTGTGGTCATTGGGTGGTAGTGACTGGCACCTCAATATAATTCCATTTTTTTAAAAGATAATTTGAGATAGTAATTTTCAGCAACCATTAATCAGTTTATAATTAATAAAATACTCATTAAATATTTTTATTTCCTATGAGAAATCTATCTTGAAAAATCATCCAAAACAAAACCTCTCTAATTTTTGCCTATCTACATACTACCTATAGTGTTATTTATTTACTGTGTTTAAAGTCAAATATTTTTAAAGTAATTTTCTTTTATAAAGAAACTTATACTGGGGGCTGGGGATATAGCTCACTTGGTAGAGTGCTTGCCTTGCATGGCAAGGCCCTGGGTTCATCCCCTGCACCACCAAAAAAAAAAAAAAGAATCTTATATAGTAGTGTCCATGAAAGTATGGGTTTATGTATTTATTTTTCTAATATGGAGATTATTTTATTCATTATGTATTTGTCAATGCAAAATGAATAAAATAAACAATATTATTCCTGTATCACCTAAAGTCTTCTCATGTGCCACCAGTAGGATCACAATTTAAGAAACTTATTAATGTATTTTTTTTATTTTATTGGCAAAACTTAAATATAGTTAGGTAAATTCTACCCTTGAAAGCTCAAATGATTTGATTCTTAAAAGCTAAATTTGATTCTTGGGAGGCACAGAACATCACCATTGATTATGATTTGTAGTTGCACTTTTGAACTTACTTTCAGAACACCAGCAGCTCTCTCTGGTTGGTTCTTTCTTTTCTTGTCTTCTTTCCCCTCAGATGGTAAATTCCTCTATAATACTACTATCCAATATAGGAATATAGGAATATAATTTGATTCACAATGAGAATATGAATATAATTTGAATCACATATGTAATCTTTAATTTTCTAATAGTCTCTTTTAAAAAGATAAATAGAAACAAATAAAGACAATGTGTAGCATATTGTACTCAACCCACTATATCTAAAACATCATTTTAACATGTAATCTATATTAATGATTGAGATATTTGACATTCTCATATTCACATAAAACTCTAATATCCAGTGTGTACTTTCCCTTACAGCACATTTCAATTTGGACACTAAATTTTTATTGGAGCATTTGATATATATTTGGCTGTCATTAAATTTACAATTGAAAAGTATTCATTGAGCAGATTTTCCCATTTTGCACTAAATTGAAAATAAGTAATTACCTTTTAAAATTTGAATTAACACAACTTTGATATTACAGAATAGTCTCAAATTCTATAGACAGTTGTTCAGAGCTTAATTGAAGATCTGTCACTTCTGTAGGATATAGTTTTTTCCTCATAATTTTTAACAAAATTTCCATAGCTTAAATAACATTTTCATCTCTCCATTGAGAAGTGGTTTTCTTTTTCTATGAAAATCCAAATCATTTTATAGCTTACCAAAATTATAAGTTCAAATCTGTTAAAAATTTGTTTTAGAATGTTTGTTGGACATTTAATTCTGATTTCCAGCAACTAATTTTCTTAATACTTTTTTGACTGTTGAAAAGAAACTTCTTATGCATTTGCTGAGAATGTCTCTCTTTTTGTGTTTTTATTAGTGCATTATAATTATACATAATACTAGGGCTCATTGTGACATATTAATATGTAACATAATTTGCTCCATATCCTTCCCTCGTACCTCTCCCTTTTCCTGCCCTCTTCCCTCCCCCAACCCTCTTTCTCTACACTACTAGTCTACCTTCCATTTATTTTTTAAATTGATGCATTATAATTATACATAAAAAATAGGGTTCATTGTGCTATATTCATACATGCATGCACATAGCATAATTTGGTTGTTCTATATCTAACATAGATAGATATAGATACACACATGCACACACATATAAAATGGCTCTTAATATTGTCCACTTAAATAACTTAAATATTTTTTCTTACATCAGACATTTCATTTTGTTCTGCTTCAGCAAATTGCAGTTGTCATTCATGGTGAAATTTTCAACATGCCTTTTTCCATTCTAGTCTCATATTTTCTTTCTACGTGAAATATTCAATTGAACAAATTATAAAGTTGTATTAGTGTGTATGAAAAAATAATTGGAACTGAATCAGTTCATTGACACCAGTGAGATCAGTGGCGTGTAATAACACTAGAAAACTCAGGTGCCAATGTGCTCACTCTGCCTTATGTGTTGCAGCTGGTAAAGTGAAACATAGTTCTACTACAAAATGCAGTTTGGGGGGCTGGTAATGTAGCTCAGTGGCAGAGCACTTGCCTAGTGTTACGAAGCCCTAAATTTGCCAACACCACAAAAAATAAAATAAATTTTAAAAAAAGATTTTTTAGTGGAAAAATACTTTTAATGCCTGTTTTAAAACTTAGACTTAAATTAGGCAAGATGAGATCAAATTTAAAAATTTCTCCTAAGTTACACTAGCCACATTTCATTATTTTTCAAACTTTGGTTCACAGCTAAATGATTTGGTGAGTTGATCATTACTTTTTTTAAACAAAGTGGAGTGGAACACAAGAAATAATTTTTTTCTTTTTAGAGGTATCAGGGATTAAGCTCAGGGGCACTTGACCACTGAGCCATGTCCCCAGCCCTTTTTTGTATTTGATTTATAAACATGGTCTCACTGAGCTGCTTAGTGCCTTGTTTTTACTGAGGCTGGCTTTGAACTGTCCATCCTCCTGCCTCAGCCTTCTGAGTTGCTGGGATTATAGGTGTACACTACCTCGCCCAGCACAGAATAGAAAATATTGTATCACATGTAGTAAGATTACTTTTTGTGAGACTTTTGTTTCTGTATATAATGGGTAAGTCACAAAGTAAAAATAAATTTCTTATTTTGGCATACAAGAAGTTTTGAAAACCACTTCTCTATACCACCTGATACATTGCCTTCAACATAATAGACAAAAGAAAAATGTTAGTTAAGTTGAATTATGGTCAGTAATATACATTTGTAAAATGACATTTTAAAATGGTAATTAAGAAAAACACACTATTTAACTAAATTTTTTCCATGCAAAGCCAGCAGCAAAAGTTTGATACCAGTAGATAAAGCTAGAGAGTTAGATGGTAGTCATATAATAGTAACTCTGAACTAATAATTTTGAACTATTCTGTGGGAAATAGGAGTCAATAAAGGCTTTTAAGCTTACTCAGTTAGGTACAAGATTTTTCTGACACAAAAGGAACAATAAATTATCCCTCTGACCACAGTATACCTGTGTTGGCTTCTAGTTATCCAAGAATCAAGATCCTCATTCTGTGTTTGAAACAAAGTATAATATCTTTCTTCTCCATAAAAAGCCTTTTTCACCAATGCTTGACCTACCTTTCTCTCTTCCCATTTGGTCTGTAACTTCTCCATTGCTACCTCTGCACCCTCCAGAGGAGGTCTGTGGGCCTGCCTTGCCCCAGTTCCCTTATCTATAGTATTAATTTTCCCTGAACTTTTCAAAGAACTTCCTGGATTAATCAAAATAACTGCCTCTCTAAATTTGACACATGACAGTAGAGTGTATTTTGACAAAAAGAAAAACCATCAACAAGTATGCTCCATGTTTTTCACCACAATTATTTATTTAATGCCCATATGATTCCCTTCTCTTAATATGCTTTTAACCTGTATAACCTAATGTAAATATTCCTTTCCCTTTTTATGTTGGTGTCATGTTTGATGATAATTGGGTTTTGCCTTTTAAACTTTGAGAGAAGAGCATTAAGTTGAATATGTTCTTTATTTCAGGGCACATAAACACATTTATTCATTTATTTTTCATTCACTCTTTTGTTTATATCTCCTACTCCCATCCCACTCCCTCTACCTGGGCCACCTCTCAAATGCCTTTATGTGCATATCTTTTGTCTTTTTATTTGCAATATATGTATTGTTTAGTATGGATCTATGTTTAATTTATTTAAATAATGGTATATTTTATATATCATTCCATTTTAATTTTTCATTAAGCATTATATGGATTTTTTTCTATTTTGAAATGTATGATAATATACAAGGTAGAATAGCATAACCCCCATATATCCATTAGCCAATGTCTGTTATCAAATTGTGCAGCAAATTTTGTTCTATCTCTGCCTACCCTCTTCCCCTCTTCTTTGGAACAAATCATTTCATCCAGGTATATTTCAATATGTACAATATATTTTAAAAATACAAGGATCCTTTTAGCATAAATATAGTGCCATTATCTTACCTAAAAACTTTTTAATAATAATTGGCTAATACCAAATCAATATTTAAATTTCCTATTATCTCATAAGTTCTGTTAACAGTTTGAGTCAAGATCCAGAGTAGGTCCACATATTGCATTTGGTTCAAATGCCTTAAAATCTAAGGGTTTCCTTTCCATTTCTCTCTCTCTCTCTTTTTTTTCATTATAACTTATTTGTTGAGGAGCTAGCTTTTTCACCCCCACAGTCTGGATTTTGTTGCTTGTCTCCTGTGTAGTTTAACATGTTCCTCTGTCCTTTGTGTTTCCTGTAAATTGTTAGCCAGACCTATCTTCTGATTCTGGTTTAGTTTTTGATCTTCATGTGGACTGTTAGGAGATGAGGCTCCCTTCTTCCATGAGGAGGTATATGAGTTCTGCATAGTGATATGAGCACTCTATTTTGAAGATAGGTACCCCCTGCTCTATTTGCATCTAGTTCTTTGTACTCCGTGATGTTAGTCTATCCCCCTATTCCCACTGTGTACCCAGATTGCGTGCAGTTTACTGCAGTGACACCCTCATACTTGTAACACAAGACCTGAGAATTTCCTTGGAAAGTAGACCCTGCAACAGGATTACAAGGTCATAGCGTAATCCAAGCTTAATTTTCCAGGTATTGCCATATTGGTCTCAAAGATGCCTGCTGAACTTGACATTATCCATTGTTCTAATTTTTGCCATTCTAAGATATAAACTAATATATCCCTTGTTTAATTTGCATTTTGTGACCATTAACAGGTTTCAAACTCTCTGTGTTTGTTTCATGT